TCAGCAACATAAATCAGATCAGAATTAAGTCCAAGGCTTTCTTGTCCGTTTTTAAACTGGCTGCCTCCCACTGTGGCAGATACAAATACATATGGGAGAAAGAACAGAACAGATCCATCTAGTAGGAGGACAGAATACATATTACTGTACTAAATGCAAACCTTAAGCAAAGTTTCGGATTTTTTTCACATAAAACATAGACATATGTATGTATTTTATGGCTTTTTTTTTTTTTTTTTTTTTGCATTTTATTAAGCATTACACATAAAATCAGGTCAAGTGATGGCACATAGAATAAAGGGAAATCAGAAGTTATGCTGACAGTTATTTAAACCTACACATTCTGCTATATTATCTTTACAGCTAATTTTAGCTTTAGTATTTTTCTGTGTTTCAGCTCTGGGTCTTTTAAATATACAAATATGAAGTGAAATATTTGTAAGAGGCAAGAGGATGCAGTAGAGCCATGGCTTTCGTGTCACTCAACCAAGAGGATCATGGTTACACAAAGAAATATTTTGCTTACTTTTATTTATTTATTTATTTCTCTAATTCTTCATCCCTCCCTTGTCTGTATTCTTACTCTTAACATCCATAACAGTTATTTTGCTTCTTTTTTTTATAATGACAACTGTTTTTGTGGAACACATTTTCCTAAGTGAGTTAGTGATGATCATTCATTGCTATCAGCTTCTGTTGACCTTTGCATTCAATAGGAACAAGCTATGTTTACAACAAAAGAGCTAAACAACATGGTGGGATATCATCTAGAAAGCTTCTGAATTGCAAGAGTGTGTAAATTATGCAAAAGTAGGTCTTGCCTGAGGGGTGAGAGACAAGAAGCCTGCAAGTTGTGACTGAAGTGAGAAACAGAGGGGTTTTTAAAATGTTAGGAAATTCCAAAGACAAAAACACAGCGATGCTGGAAATAACAGAGTCCTGCTCATCTGAAATAAACGTCTGTGAATGTCCAGCAGTTTTGTAGACAAGAGTTGGCTCTGTCTGGTTGAATGTTTAATGTCACATGATTATTTTTTTAATACTTCCACTAAGTTTTCCAAGATTTTCACGTACCTATCCAAAGTAAAAACAGTGATTGTAAAACGATGGACCTTCAAAACATTTTGGAAGTTTTCAGCACCTTGCCAAGAAAACAGAAAACTAATGGAGAAGTGAAAAAGCTCGGACAGACAACCTTTCTTTCAAAAGTGTCGGCCTGTTTGCTGTTCTACAGTTTCCACGATCCAGAGTGTGCCCAGCTGCAAGCAATTGGACAAACTGCTTAGCATTCACCTGGAAGCTAATTATTATTTGCTTGCGGTTTCAGCTAGGGATTCTAGATCTTTGACCATGACTGCAGTGTGGTAGAAAATATATAAAGAAGCAACAAAAAGTTGATTACTCTCCTCGTGGGAAAACTAAATAGTTAACTTACTAATCTACTGCTATTCCATTTGCTTTATGATTATGTCTCCAGTATTTAGAAAACTGGTTTAACAGAGATCAAAGCTGGTTTTCTGTGAGTTCACTCTTGTAAATGTTAATGATTTATTCATTTTGTTTTCTGTGTCACTGTGCCATTTTTGCAGCATATTTACCATTAAGCAGAAGTTCAGACGAACGCTGCAGCCTGCTGCAGGGGAAAAGGAGAACAAGGAAAGGAAAAATGAAAAGAAATATCTTAAATACATACAGGAATACATGCATACATACATACATACATAAATACATACAGAGGTGAAAGCCTGAGTAACTGGTATCCTGATGCAAGTGTACAGACAATCTAACTAAACGTACACCATCTCAGCTCTGTGAAAATGAGACTCCTGCAGTCTCTCATGCACAGGGTAGATTACTCATTAATAAAAACTGGTACAAAAATTATATTAAAAACAAACAAACAAGAACAACGCAGAATGAAGACCGTGGTAATTAATGAGAAAATATTCATTATGTAGACTTTCAGTGTATATTTCTTAGAAATAATTGGATTTAGTTTTATCCACTTAGAACTAGTTTATTGCCAAGACCCTGCAAAGGAAATTCTGAGCAGTTCTAGATTGGCTGTCCTTATGGCATAATGGTCTTCTGTTTGTTATCAGTTGGCATGTATTTGTACAGAAGACAACCAATGCTTTTCAGGGCTATTAACATCACTTAAGTTTAAATAATGTAAAGTAAGCTCGTTTCTCAGTCCAAGGGAAAATATGCAGGAGTTCCAAAAGAATACTAATAGCAAGAACTTAGGTTAGCATTTCAGATTGCCTACTGGAATGTTCTCTATTAATCATCTGGTAAACCGAGGGAAGCTATTCTTTTAATTTAGGCATTTGAGTTAATTGCCAAACGGGAAGAATTATAAACATGCCCATTTTCCTTCTCTTTGAATACTTCCCTCAGGATCTCATTTGATCTTGTGGGTAATGTACCATTGTAAAAGTAGCAGGATTAAGCCTTTAGGAAAAAAAGCAAGATTGCATAGAAAAAGAATAAGAAAAATAACTTTGAAATGGATCTGGAAAATGATTTTGCCATTATTCTATGTCTGCATTTCAAATGCTTTGTTATGCCTACGTAATCAGAATATTTGGTTGCATTTTCTATAAAGGCACTGATTATTTTTTTTCATCTACCCTCTCTGAAATGAGACTTTGGACTACTTTTCAGAACATAACAAAAAATGTTTTTCCTTGTCAAATAATCATCTAGTTAGAAGTCAGTGAGCATAGCTGCTCAATAAAATTCTACATTAAATATACCAGTTTATATCTTTTTAATTCAAGTGACCAAAAACTTTAAAATTGCTTACTTGGTTCGTGATTCAAAAGTGAAGTTCTTGTTTAGTTCTTGGCACTTCCGAGATTCAGAAATAACTAAGACTTTCCTCAGATTTCTTCCAGTCCGTCTCTTCAGTATTTCCTGTAGGTATTCAAGTTTCTAATTTTCTCCATAAAACTGTATTTTCATTAACAGATATGACAGAAAAGGAAGGTTTAAAGAAACCGTAGATGGCAAGCACAGATTTTGAACAAGGCCTTCAAAACAAGCTCCAATAAACTGTGGAGTATTCAGCTCTTTATCTTCTGACTGTTCCTGGATGATGTGCCTTATGAGAATAACAGCTATTAAAAAAAAACCCATCAATTAGGCTTTCCGGAGCCTTAATTAGGGTGTTTGATTCTTCAAACACAGGAATCAGGGGTAAACACAGAAGCAGATGCTTTACTAAAAGACAGCCCAAATAATCTGTAGGGCTACTCTGTCTCTACAGATCTTGATATTTTAAAGTCATCAAAGCAAATGATGAGAGCGGTCGTAACGGGATGCTGAAAACTACAGTTTGTAATAAGTGGTCTGCTATTTTCTTTTAAATTGGCAAAATACAGACATAATTGAAGTGGATGTATGTTTATGTTTGAGTCTTACCCACGTTACCGTTCCACTGCTTTCACTTCATGTTTGCAAGTGATATGACTGGTGGAATTCATAACCCCTAGGTCACCAAAAACCAAGAATACTTTGACTAGGCTAACAGAGCAAGACTCTGGGATAGGAAATACTGCATTCCTTTTCCAAAAATTAAGCATGAAAAACCATACCAAACTTCAACTAACCAACTAACTAACTAACTAACCCTTTATCTACAAGTTAGCTAAAAAGTAAACCGGCTGACAAGACTCTTGGCTGGCATAATGCCAGGTGGTGCTCCAAATTCCTTCACAAGAGATGAGTTTCTGATGTGCTGTATCTTCATATGGGTGAAAAGAGGAGCAGTATTAAAACTTTAAGAATAACCTTTACGGACTGTATGACTGATGAGTAGTTGAAATGCTAATTTGCACCATAAACTCATACTCTTTGCCCTCCTTCCTAACCAGAACTAGTACTTCTAGTGACTAAAGAGAATGATGAAAGCAGAAGAATAGGAATAGTTCTAGAAATAGCTGTTTAAACACTTGCTGACTTAACAAACATTAAGGTATGTTTTACCTTAGAAATTCCCCCTTACTTCCAGTGCTTCACATGCATTTTTACAGAGAAGAGGATATTTGAGTTGGTCTAAAGGATGATGAGATCCCTTTCATATGAGATGTTTTTGTTGTTATTTATGTATATCACATTCATATCTTTAAATGTCAGCCAGTTCCATTAACTAAACTTTTTGAAGGTCTTACTGCATTTGTGATTATGATTGAGAGGAACAGAATGTAGGAAGCAGGAAGAAGTCAATGAAAAGCATAAAGACTGAAGTCACTCTGACTCAAGTTAATATAAGAATAAAGATATCTGTGAGCTGGCCCACAGATATGCAAAATGAGGTGAACAAAACTCCTTTTAGAAAGGCATACTTATATATAAGCTCGAAAGGCAAATGGGATCCTGGGCTCCATCAGGAGAGGGGTGGTCAGCAGGGAGAGGGAGGTGATTGTCCCTCTCTACTCGGCTCTTGTGAGGCCCCACCTGGAGTACTGTGTCCAGGTGTGGAGCCCTCAGTACAAGAAAGACGTAGAGATCTTGGAAAGGGTCCAGAGGAGGGCGACTAAGATGATCAGGGGGCTGGAGCACCTCCCCTATGAGGACAGGCTGAGGGAGTTGGGCTTGTTCAGCCTGGAGAAGAGAAGGCTGCGGGGTGACCTCATTGCAGCCTATCAATACCTGAAGGGAACCTACACCCAGGAGGGGAGTAAACTCTTCAGAAGGGCTGACAACAGCAGGACTAGGGGAAATGGATCCAAGTTGAAGGAGGAAAGATTTAGGTTGGATGTTAGGGGGAAGTTCTTCACAAGGAGAGGAGTTAGGCCCTGGAACGGGCTGCCCAGGGAGGTTGTGGATGCCCCGTCCTTGGCCGTGTTCAAGGCCAGGTTGGACGGGGTCCTGGGCAACCTGATCTGAATGTGTACGTTTGGTGGCCCTGCTAGGCAGGGGGGTTGGAACTACATGATCCTTGAGGTCCCTTCCAACCCGGGTGATTCTGTGATTCTGTGATTCTGTGATATAAGGCATGAATATGCAGAACGGTGGCTAACGGGGCATATAACTTTAAAACCCGGCTTCCACAACAGATGGCTTTATTTACCACATTTGGGAACTTCGCATGGGGGAATCTACCGCTGGAAGCACAGTTGCGTGAGCTGCAAAATGATCAGATATGGGTCAAAAAACCAGACTGCCCTAATGCTTTGTGATAGTGCTTATGTAAGATTGTTGCAATCTGTCCAAAGCAAAAAATGATCCAAATAATTAGATGTGTGTGATGTTTTCTCTCCTAAAATAATTGCAACTGCGTTGGGAATTAGAACAGGTCAACTGGAACATGCATAAGGTAACAGGTTTCCGGCGCAGCTTTTTCAGTTGTGATATTTAAAATACCTTTCCTTACCATAAAAACATGAGACCATTCAATCTGTCGAATTTCTGGTAAACTCTGAGAATTATAAGGCCATATAATGGTCACAGTGTGCTGAACAGCAGCTCAGGGAGACAAGAATATGGAAGGGAAATGTTCTACCACTGAATGCATCATTCCTAGTGAATGTCTGGAACCTGTAAAGTACCTAAGAATTTTCTTTCCCCTTTTTTTACAGCTAAAAATGCTGAAGACCAGAGGAAAGTGACAGATGCTTTAGCAGAGAGGCATTCAAACGCAAGGCTTGAAAATGAGAAAATGGAACGCAGAGGGCAGACTTGAGCTAGTTTCTACTGCAGGGTTGGGGAGCAATGTTTTGTTTCAGTTTGGTCAAGAAAATCAGCATAAGTCAAACGGAGGTGACTCTTGAGTTCCTGAGTTCGTGGGCATCTATGACAAAGTTTCTAGGAGCTGATATTTCTTCATAAAATCTACACCTAAAAGGAAACCTAAGTCTGGTTTCTTTCCATCCTTTTCATATGGTAAATAATAATAATGATTAGGTGCAGACCCAGAGTGTGGGGGAGGTGGATTTATGCCTCCTCAGTTGTTAGGGTTTTGTTCTTTCCAATCTGCATAAAAACAGAAGTCACTGTTAATGCAGTTAAGGTCGTTGAACAGTTCCAGAGAGTGATTTGGTATTAATAGGAGTAGGAACAAATTTTTGTAGCAGTTCAATCACAAATCTTTCCTAAAATGTATTTTCCTGATGTTAGTCCCCCAAATAAGAGTCCTGGTCTTGCTACACTTTTCAGGCAGATCTGTGGACCCAGATGAATACCTAAAACAACAATAACAAAAAAACACCAATAGTACAACTGGTAGATAGAAGGAGAGACTACTGCATTCTTCTTCCTCGTTACAAATTTCTAAACAATCGGTGACCTAAAACTAGCACTACTTTAATTAGACATGAACCAAACAAGAGTTTCATCAGTTCACTAACAAGAAATTCTTAGAGGAACACAAAGTAAGTTTTAACCACATGCTTACCTGAAGATTAACTGGGAAAAGAAAAAGGCTTTTCAATGCTGCTGCCTGTCTTGGGCTAGTAATGTTATTTAATTTATATGGATACTCATTGAACTGCATAATCAGGATTTTGGAGGCCTTCAGAAAAAAGAAATGAGAACAATTTTAAATGCAGCAATAAATGTATGTTGTTGCAAAGGCTGGTGAGGTGATTGATGTTACTTCAGGTTTGGGAGCTTCCTTATATGTATATTTTATGTTGCTGTTCAATAGTGAGGGACAATTCTCATGCATTTTAAAAATAGGGGCATTAATTTCTGTATCTAATTCTGTTTCGTAAACACACCACACATTTGTTGACTCGCTGATTTTTACACCAATGGTTATTTAAGCCATATCTACCTCTGAATAAATCTAACGTCTTGGCTCCATTAGATCCTGTGGCAAGCTGACTTTTCAGTGGAAGAAGGATTTCACATGTTCACAGCAGTGCTGTAAGTTGCCTCGAGGCAGTCTCACTAGGAAAACACAAGAATACGACAAAGTTTACTGTTTCTAGCTGATGCATATCAATACCTTGGAAGGTTACACAGAGCTGGACTATGCTGTGGAGGCGTTTTGCAACATATCAGTGTCAGAAGTTGCCAGTTCAACGCTTCCCATAATGATTTTCAAAGAAAGAGATCTGGAAGCCAGGAAAATACAAGGGGAAAGAGTTGTGCAAATCCTATCTTTTTAGGGTAACAATGTAGACCTTGTTTTTGTTTTTGTTTTTAATATGGGAGGTACCACTAAAATTAACTTGCTCAAAAAAGAAAAGAATCTGACAACCAGACTAATTGATATTATGACTGTAATCCTTATGGAACTTTATTCCATCAAAATGGTGGATGAAATTGGAGGGGAAAAAAAAGGAAAGGAAAAGAGGAGAGAAAGGATGCTATTTTTTTTGTGTTTCTACCACCGCCATTGATTCTGTTTTTGAAATTTTCATGAGAACACTGTTGTCTCTTCAAGAAAGGTATTTACATTCTTTCCATATGTGATTGGCCTGTTAATTATACCGCAATAATTCTGCAGCTCGATGCTGTATCTGTCCCAGGCCACATCAGCTGGTTGTGCTGCAGCATGGTGGAACAGAGACTATCTGAACACTGTCATACTGATGGTCTATGTAGGGAAAAGAACATTTCTGACCCTTGTGAAGCAGCCCTGTTTTTGTTCAGAGCATTAACCGGCGTTAGGCACCAGCAAGTTATTAGATTTTGATCCTCACTTCCAAGAAAAGCAAGAGAATGAGATTTGCCCCATCCCTGGAGGCATTCAAGGCCAGGTTGGATGTGGCTCTGGGCAGCCTGGGCTGCTGGTTGTCAACCTGCACACAGCAGGGGGTTGGAACCAGATGATCACTGTGGTTCTTTTCAACCCGGGCCATTCTAGGATTCTATGATTTGATGATTTGATGATTCCAACTGACAGAGTCCCATGGGAAACATGCCTGACGGTCCAAGATATGCTGGCCATGATGGACAGCCATGTCACATCCTGGGCTTTCCGAAGTGAATTATCACACTTCCAGAGAACTTACAGGTAGCGGAAGGTGAGGATGGATGGTCAAGTCCCTGCAGAAGAGTGGATCCCCACTTTTGCTGGTAGTGCAGCCTCCTAAAGGGCCTTGCGTAGTTCTTCTACACCTGCATAGAAATACACCTTAAAAAATCTTATTGTGCCTTTCTGTGAACTGGCACTGTTCTGTTACTGAAGCGCCAGAAAGGGCAGGTATTTCTAGGCAGATACATCTCTAGCAGTACCATGTGCCTGCATAGACTGTCTACCAAATGGATATGATGCTGTACATATCTGCCTGTCACTAGTAAAGTAAATATACTGACAGTTGTTTTTTAGTTTAACACATCATTAACAAGAAGCGAGCTTTTATTTGAAAGGAAAAGACTAATTTAAACACTAGAATTGTTTTCAGTCATTTAAGTTACATAGTTCTCACTCCAGAAACTTTGATCATGTATAAGCCCGCTGAAAGGCTGAAATGTAATCAGCCTCACATACATTATGTTGCAATGTTGTGGCACTAGTGCATGACAGAATTTTATTTTCCATTAGTTCATTCTTTGCTGGAAATATAAACACTCTATATGCTTAATAGTCCAAAAAATGAATGTTATTGCTTTTTAAAATTGCCTGTTAATGAGAATTCTGTTTGCTATTAAAAAATCGGGTGCCTTAGGACCATCTTTCAAATGCTGACATACCTATTTGCAACATCAACAGCGTTAAACAATCAAAACAAAATCATCCCTGCTTGTGCTTTTACTAAAAGCAACCAGGTTTTTTAACTGATCAAAATGAATGTTTATAGCATCTGGGGAGCCAGGACTGACTTTTAAATGGCTTCCCACTGAACTATGAACAATTTTTGCAGCAGTGTTGGCTGTGGAAACATGTGTGGAACAAAGATAGTTACTTTTCCAGGAAAAAAAAGCCTACTGTTCTAAAGGGCTTCTTTTAAGTAGGAAAGATGTAGGAGAGGTTGCACTGACCTGAATCATCAAATGTGCACCAATGCTTGAGAAAAAGCAAGTTCCTCAATGTAGGAAAAAACTGTATTTTACTTGTAAGCACGTACAGAGTCTGATTTTCCATAGCAGCCATGAGCTCAGTTGGAATTAAGGATTCCTATCATTTCTAAAGATCAGTATCACTCATTGTGACTCGTCACGTAGCAGCTGAAACAACACAGTTTTCGTTGCCTAACAAGCAAGATCTTTTAGGACAGTGAACTTGAATGGAAGCAAGACAAAGTGAAGGATGATTGGAAAAACTCCTGTAATTGCATCTACAGTTAATTCAAAAATATAAACTGGAGATGAAGATTCTTTTTTTATATGGCTTCTATCCTAATAGTTACAGATACAGGTATTGTACTCATGGATACCCTATTTTTCCTCTTACCTGTAAGATGTAATCCCAACTCCTTCTCATGCCTTCTTTTCATAATCCATGCTGCTGATTTGGGTAATGAGAAGGGTTAATTCAGGGACAGACCTGTTAATGAGGAACTGGCCTTAATTTGAGCAAGCGTTTGTGCAATTTTGGTCTGGCAAGAATCATAGTGGATTATTTTCACCTCTTCTGGGAGTGAAAGGCACGTGGAAGATGTCAAGAAACGTGAAACCTTCAGAAAGCTCAGTAATCATGGTGGTATCCGAGTCAGAAGGCTTGGGAGGCTTGGGCCTCTGCTGTGTTTGTGTCTGAAGGCGTTCTTTCTTTGGGTTATTGCTCTTTTCTGTAAAGATTTAAGGGGGTGATGTGATGCTCTTCATCATTTGGCAGCACAGCACAGTGGACACTATTCTCAGTCCTACCCTCTTCCTCTGGGCTTTTCTTGAGGCTGCCAGGAGCTCAGGGCCATCTGCTGGACTCCTCTTTTGTTCCAGCCACAGCAGCTCAGTGGACGCCAGTCCCTGTCCTGCCCTCTTCCTCAGGGCTCACCTGGAGGTGGCACGGAGCTCAGAGTTATCCGCTGCACTCCTATTGTCCCAGCACAGCTGCTTAATGGACACCAGTCCCAGTCTCGCCCTCTTAGGGCTTACCTGGAGGCTGCAGGGATCTTGAGGCTTTCTTCTGGACTCCTCCTTGCTGTCCCAGCTCAGCTCAGTGGACACCAGTCCAAGTCCTTTCTTTTCCTCAGAGCGTGGGAAAGAAGAGGGGAGAAGAGGTTTTAGGGAAAGATGGAGAATGGAAAAGGAAGAGGGTAGGGAGCAGCAGCCGTCGCAGGGGCTCTCTGGCAGATGATGACATTTCAACGCCAAGATGGAAATCGAGAGCCCCTGCTGCGTCGCCAACAGATGAGATGACATCTCCAGACAAGCATGGTGTTACAGCATTTGCCTAGGCCTGATGGAGGTGGATCCACCTCCATTGGCTCTGCCTCCAGAGGCAGATCCACCTCCATGGGCTTGACGTCATCTTTAGGAGGATCATTTTCCATTTCTTTAGGCTCTCTGCTGCTCCCCTGAAGCTTAAGCTTCTTTGGTGGAGGAGGATCCATCCTCCTCCAGAAAAGTGGGAGGGAGAGAGAAAGAGTGAGCTCTGGATACGTTGCTTCTTGGGTCAGCAGCCACAAGACACGAGTCAGTGATCCCTTGCTTTGTTCAGCCCAGAGAAGAGCTCTCTCATGGTGTCCCACAGCTGCTCAGAGGGAGTGGAGGGGTAGCACTGGTCTCTGCTCTCTGGTAACAGTGACAGGTCCTGAGGGAATGGCATGGAGCTGCATCAAGGGAGTGTGTCAGGTTGGTTTGGTGTAAAGGCTCTGCCCCAGAGGGCACTGGGCACGGCCTTGAGCTGCTGGAGCTTAGAGAACATTTGGACAGTGCTCTAAGACATAGATTTTGGGTGGTCCTGTGCAGATCCAGAGTTGGACTCGGTGATTCTTGTGGGTCCCTTCCAGCTTGGGATATTCTGTGATTTTGTGTGAGAGAAGACAGTAGTCAGTAAAAAAGGAGAAGCGTAAATTATTTTACAAGCATAGTTATGCATTCCCACTATATCATTTTGCTTTGTATTTGTTACCAGCTTAAAATATATTGGCCATGAATGGTAACTACAGCATAACCTTCTTCACTGCACTGCTCAATATTTTATCTTCGGTACCATGATGTTAGATCAAAAACTGAACCAAAGTCTAAATCAGTTCAGTCTGAAACAAATACATTTCATCCACTTTCCTTGCTTAAACAAAAAGGTCATCCCTACACAAAATATTTTATTTCATCTGGAAAAAAAAAGACTGTTCTCCAGGTCTAAAATGCGAGATTAGATTTCCCCAAATAGCAGGAGGAGGAATCACTTCCCCCTCGTTCATCATTTGGTAGCTCACACTATAAATCTTCATTCTCTTCTCCTGCAAGAAAAGATGTGAAACTGCTTGTCTGAGTTCCAGTCATTGTGGCTAAAAGCCATTCTGGGACAAGGAGGATGAAAGAACGAGGAGGAAGAAGAGCTCATGTGCTCATCTGTAGTAATTGAAAAACTAATGAATAGCTAAATGCATTCAGCAGCATAAATGGAGCTGGTGCTCCCTGAGCTTCGTTGCCAGGTGAGAGAACTGGATGCTATGCTTGCTGATCAGTCCTTTGCCCCAGGAGGCCCAATGTCACCGAAGGTGGTAGGCGCCCAGCCCCTCATTCCGAACGCCTTCCTGCCACATAACACCTCTCTGGACATGTGGAGAAGGCAAAGCAAAGTCCTGACAGAGATGGAATGCCTGTAGCCTGCATCCGAGGAGCAATCCTGGAGCCTTGCTCTGAACCAAGCCAAAATTTTATTTTCTTTCAGGTAGAAAACTGTTATTTTGTACCTTATGACCACACATTGATGTATGATAGACTGCAGACGTGAAGGAGGGAAGATAATTCCTGCATGAAAAGACTTCACAGTAATTTTGCTCATCTGCTTTACTGGTGTCTGGAATAAAGATTAAGTGCCAAGTATTAAAGTATTAGATACTGAAAAAATGAGGGAAGTCCATCTCCTTGGTATCTGCAGCCCTGTTACTAAGGGTAAGGAAATTGAAAGCTGCGTGCTGACTTTTGATCTCCCAGCCTGGTTGTCTAATAGCATCCTGTAGCACTGTAAAGTGATGCAGCTGTTAATAAACCTGAATCTCATGTTGAAAACATGTAAAAATGAGGAGAAAACACAGAGGTTGAGACTACATCATCTTAAAATTATCTGAGGAGAAAGATCGTGATATAACTCAAGTCTTTACATTTTTTTAAGACAGTAAATGACATTAACTCAAGTTGCCCATATTCACCACAACCAGAAAAGCATTTACTTGTTAATTAATTAAAAAACAAATTCAGAACAGACCTTTTAAAGCACTTTTTCATATACTGGGTTACTCTGAAAAAGTAGCCTTACCAAAGAGAAAAAAAGATTACTGGCTCACTCAAGAAGGAACTGAAAAGAACTTACACAGCAGTAGGCTATAGAAAGAATCTGGATGTTTCATCTTCAAATCTGACTTACACACATTTTTAAATGGTTTTCTGGATTCCTTACTACCTTTGGACTACATGAATTAATGATACAAATTCTGCATATTGCAGCCTTACCTAAGAAAACAGAATACAAATGCAGTTTCTCAGTAAAACATTTCTCATAAAACTGTGACTTTCAGATGGGTTTTTTTTCAAGCATTACTGACCAAAATAGCTACTAGTCTTCTATGTGTGCTATATTTCTCTCAAATACAGTAACAAAAACAAAGAGAAATTCCATGATAAAACTTTTGGGGACCGAGTCATTTTAAACTTCAATTCATTCCCTGGGTCAAACTGGGTCAATTTTGCTGCTTAATCTTGCTTCCATTAAAGTTGTGTAAAGTCAATGTTCATCCTGTCAAAAACTTAAATCAGAAGCTTGATTTAGTTCTGATCATCTAGTAATCCCAGGTACAAGAGAAAGTTCCTGAATGCTATACAACCTGAAAAACCAAGCTTGCTTCCTGCAGGTATTCCATTTTTAGGTTTTCATGAAGAACTAATGTTTGAAAATCTTCTAAATAGCTGGAGAGTCCGGCAGCTCTGTCTGTCTTACAGGGGGAATGGGAAAACAGACTGAGACACTAGAGCTGAGGTTTAGGAAAACTGGGGCTGCAGTCACTCCTAATAATAATTTGCATCTATGCTGGGTACCTCGAGGCCTTGCTTTTGAAGCATCTAGCATCATCCTCCTGTAGCTGACCTTCGGTGTATTTAACAGGTAGCTTTTGTTTCAGCTGCTGCTCTGCTAATCTCACACTCCTATGAAATGGCTTTTGACGAGGTGAGACCCTTTGTGGAGCTGCCTGCTGCAGAGGACCTTTAGTTTAAATGAAAATGACAGCATTTCAGCAAGTGCAATTGTAAGCTCTATGACAGAATATAGATTCACAAGGAGAAGTAATTCTTGCTACTGTCATAAAACATTGCTTTTTTTCAGATGTCAGCACCATTTGGTGCCACTGTGACTGGAGAAATTTCTAACACCATCTACTGGCAAATGCTCTGAACTGAAAGAAAAAAAAAAAAGAGCATTCATTTCTCTAAAGTGGATTCAAAAATGAAGAGGTACATGATCACCTTTCAGATGCATGCTACTCATTGGCACCCTAACGACATCTCTCCCACTGCATTTGTAGGGAAGGAGCCTGAAGAATGAACTGCAAGGTTGAGCTTCTCTCAAGCCTGTGGATGACACTACTTTTCAAGACTGACTTGATGTAGGAGTAAACATGGTTATTCTGCTCTCTACAGCTCTCTTCCCCTTACTGCGAAGACTGCGTGAGGATGTGGGCCAACGGGAAGGTCGCAGGAGTCTGGAGGAATGCTGGAGATGTAGAGTGCTGACAGAGGATGTGCGTATCTGAAAGGAACTCAAGAGAGTTCTGGTAACCTTACAAAGGAACAAGGAACTACAAAAGAATTTTTTTTCAAGATTGCTTCAGCACTGTGGTTCACTGTAAGTCTCATCCAACCATCTTCGTATAAGAACGCTACTTTACACTGTTAAGAATTAAAGCAAGCACCAGACAAAATATATTGGCAGGGAAGTTTGATTCTTCCTAAAAACTTCTGTGGTATAATTGTAAAATGGTCCTTCCTCAAACTGGTGATGCTGTGGTTGACTAGGAGTTGATAAACACTAAGCACGGTCTCTGCTTTTTGAGCTTGAACACTGTGTGAGTCAAAAGTAACGTGCAGATGCATAGCCCCTTAGTTGGACTAGGAGATCTCCAGGGGTCCCTTACAGTCCCTACTACTCTATAATTCTGCAACCAGTGGATTCCCCAGTTTTTCACTGTGGAACTCAGGTTAGGTTTTCATAAAGATATTAACAACATCATATTCAATCCATTTTGGTTGTATTCTCTACATAAATTGTCCCAAAGATGTCTAAATCTTTTCACATTACAATTAAAACAGAGCTAGATAGATTGATGCTATGCTCACTTATAAATTGTTTAGCCAAAACCCACATTAGAGCCAGGACAAAATATTCACATACAAAACAGAAACTGCAGAGGTCCAAGAGCTCTTCTCTCACATTTCTTCCTTATCAATGAATAGGTCATGTCCACTCAGGACAAATGAGAGCCTGAATCCGGTCCTCTGCCTAAATTGAGAGGTATCTATCAACCAGTCACTCTCCTGAATAGATTGTGCTATTTGAAGCAGTGGTCAGCAGTTTCCAAGCTTTCAGACAATGATGGTGATTCATTACCACTTAAATCTTCACAATTTCCTCTTATTCTTTATCAGAGAGAGGGCAGAAACTGCAGCTAAATGCCAAAAAAGCAAGAGTTGGGTACAAGCATGATGTAACACAGTAAACTGCTGAGCCAAGAGCTGTTCAACCAGCCAAATTGCATCCCAGTGAGCTGTTTGAGACCATAAAACCATCAGTTCTGAGAAGCTGTACTCTACATCAGAGCCAAACACCAAGTACTGCCAACGAGTCAGTATAGTAACTGTATTTCACTTTAAGGAACCCGGACATTTGGGAACCTTCCACAGGCAGCATGCACTCTTCTTCCTGCCTACATCATCAGCTGACAAGCCAACTGTGTTCCCACGGTTTGTTGAATTCTCTTACTGACAAATTATGATACTTTGAAGAAATTTTAACCAAAAAAGCAATAATCCAGCCCGTATTTCTTTACTATCTCAAGAAACAGAGCCTCAAAGTGTCACTACGCTTCAACTGTACCTGTTTCTTCCCATACAGGAGGGCAGAAGTCCACCTCAGGACAGTTGTGTCACTCAGAGTCCTGTAGAAAGGCACACAGATCCCTTCTAAGCATCACCTAAGAAGCAAAAACACAGAAGGAAGTGAAATGTTTTGTCCAATCTTCTCTCCACCAAAGACAATTTTCCTATGTTTTGTAATGAAAGAGCCTACATTCCCAAGCTTCGTGTTCGGTCTCTCCGCATTTCAGTCTTGTGTATATTAGTTTATTAGCAGAAGTATGAGTGAGTATACATGTTATGCCTTCTCCTCTGGGATATATTCCTAGAATCCTCTATTTTTCCAGATATGATTAATTTTGACTTATGCAGACATATAAATGCAGCCATTGACTCAGCTGGCATAAATCAGTCTGGTTCCACTGACATTAATGAAGCCTCGGGGTGCTGATTTATCACTTCATACTAAAGCTCTGTACAACAATGTTTTGCATTTAAGATGCTGTTGTTGGAGTACAGTGCTTTTCTCTCTTTTTTTTCAAATTGTTCATTCATTCTCTTCCTGAGGTATTTTGAACATCTTATTGTCTCTGTATTTCCTATTGGGTGACCTCAACTTTTTAGCAGTAAAAATTTGGTGGACATCCTGTTTGGCAGATTTCAATCTTATGTTTGAGCACTGAGGTAGAAAGAGAGAGAGAGAAACGGAAGACAAGCATTTATCTCAAGCTGTTAACCAACACTTGCCTGCAAACACACATAGACACAAAGTCCTCTGTGCTGCAGTATTTCAGAATATGCACTGAGTCAAAATGTCTGATCTGCCTCTGTCAGCAGGATCTTGTCAAATGAAAAGATTGCTCCCAGCTTTGCAGTGGATTTGGTAAATCAGACTCTTTTGAAGATGTGATTACTATTATTGTTGTGAGATTTACTTATTTATTTTTAATTTAGTTTTCTTCAGAGAAAGCTAACTACAAGCATGGGTACCTTAGCTTGTGCAGCTTCATCAGCACTCCACAAGCATTGGTGCTGGTTGGCAATGATTTAAATCATCATTTAAAGATGAAAAAGCAATTAAGCACTGGGAATGCGTAAGCTAATTTATCCATTGAAAAGTAAATTAGGAGGGGGTGACTTCTATGCTGCAGAATAAAAGTTTGCAAAACATTGTAACATTTCTTTGGCTACTTTTTATTATAATAATTATTTAATCTTACGCAAGCCTTTTAGGCTTATGATTTCTGGTCCTCAAAATCAGCAGTGCTGAAGTCCCTCTTAAGGATGAGAGTGTGAAACAGTAACTGGTTCAATGGAAGGCATATTTGAGTTCGGGGGAAAGAGTCTTGGACCAGAACATCTGTTGGAAGGGTTATTTGATGCTACAGTCTGCAAAGGCAGACCAGGTAAGGATGTGGGAAGTCAGCGGGGAAGCCCACACCGCTAAAGGCACAAGTCACTGTCTTGAGGTGTGCAGGGCACACAGGGCTGGCGGCTGCAGTGCAGTGGGACAACACTGGGGAGAGTGGAGGGGACACAGGAGCACCTGATGTCCTGATGATGTAGCAAAGAGGAGCCTACAAAGATCAGGGAGGGTCTGGAGGGCGAGGGGTGGGAGGAGCCACTGAGGTCCGTTGGTTTGTTCAGCCCAGAGAAGAGCTCTCTCGAGGCAGACGTCAACTCCTCATGGTAGCAGATATCACAATAAGTTGTCAGAATAGCTCCCAGCTAGATGACAGAACAGAATCTGGCTCTGTATTGTTTTTAATAATATAAAAAAAATTGGGACGAATTGAAAGCATCTAGATGTTACTAAATGCATTCAAATTAAGGTATTTCTATGTCGACTTGGACTATTTGATGCCTACTTATTACAGCAAATCATAATACTTCAATACTCCTGAAGGCTTTATGCAATGACTGTTTTTGCAGTGCAGCAATGTTTATAAATTGCTTCAAAAACCTTAGATGAAAGGACCTGTAAATGTAGAATACACCATTACATCTAATTAATGCACTTCATACGTCTCTGACTTCCTCCTGATGTCCTTCCCAAGGTGCTGCTGCTGCCGGAACTGTTTCGAGCGTTACAGAAAGTGTGAATTGGAACAACTTGGTTATGAAAGAAAAATACATGCTGTTCAGGGTTGTTTTAATTTGTTACTATGTATTTTCATATTATCTGCTAACAATTAATGAACAAGCAAATGTTGACTATCAGACTCTCAGTGATTAAGAAATTTGCTCCTTTTAAGCCATGATCCTTTACTTTTTCCCTCAGCTCTCTTACCTGAAATATTCATTAGTTTTCCAATTCAAACAATTCTTCATTTGATGCTTCTGCATCTTCTTTTTTTTTTTTTTTAAACTAAATTAAGAGTGCTGGACTAGTACCAAAGAAGCAATTATCATATAAGAAATAGGAAAATCGTATGTATTTAAAGCAGAGTGGGTCATCTTAAAATTAAATGATTAAGTAAAATCAATAAAAATAATGCCGTAGAATCCAGGATTGATTGGTTGTGACTCTAAAAACACTGCCAATCTTCCAAACGTATTTTTTTCCTTTAAGAAAAAAAAATCTTCATGGTAAGTTTATCCCTTCTTTGATGTAAAGGAAAATAGTTCACTGCAATCAGTTTTCTTCATCTCACTAATGAACAAGTCAAATTCATTTCAGGGACAGATTAAACCCGCTCTCATAATGTGCTGTGCTCTGGGATGCTATTGATGTTTGATGTTCGTTTTGAACTACCTATACACTGCTCCCAGCACTTTAAATGATTGCATAGTAGGTATGTGTTTATATATAGCACGTAATCATCTCAAATGCTAGGATTGCAATATGAATAGGGAATAAGAAATAAACTTTACTTCTGATTATATAGGCTTGTGATTAATTGTTTGAACTTTGGAAAATGAGAAAGCCCTAATTAATTTAAAAAAAAAACCTCCTAAAATGGGGTATTATTTAAGTGTAATATATAGTTTATGGGTTTTATGTGCAGAGTATAGCACTTTTTGGGGTTTTGTTTCATTTCTTATTCAATTCAGTTTATTACTTTATTCATTGATTTCCCATAATAATGTTTGTGCTTATATACTGCCTTTCAGCTGGGGCTCGTAAAGTACTTTACAAACATTAATATATTTTTCTCACCACTTTTATTTACATTGCCCTTCTAATGAAACTATCATAGACTAGCTGTATATAAATTACACTGAGGCAGCAACAGAAGATAGAACATGCACCAGAAAAATAAACTAAAAAGCAACATTGGAATGAAAGCCTTAAACCCAACCTATTCCAGGTAACCATTCCAACTTCTAGCCTGGCCTTCCCAAAAAGCAGCAAGATGCGGGCAGAACACTTGCGTTAGGGCTCAGTCAATACAGACAGTAGTTTCATCTGCTCTTAATAATTGCCAGTTGCAGAGATTGCCTGGGGAGAGCACAGCATCTGTTCTCACCCTGGGCTGCCTGTACTGTCAGGAATTTCACGTCTATCTTAAACCGGTTACTTCAGATTTAGCTCATTAGCTGATGTCTCATTCACTTGGACATGAAGAAAAATTATTCCCCATCTTTGCTACAGTGTCCAGTGAATGTGAAGGCAATTAGCACATAGCACCCTTGTCTTTTCTCTTCAGATGAAATGTCACCTCCTTAACTCCTCACCAGTACAGCCATCCTCATTGACTTCCTCTGGCTATTCTCCTGCCCCATCCTCCATGAAGGGCAGTGCTGAAAAAGTACACAGGAGTCCACCTGGATTCCTTCACTGACCCAGCTTGTTTCTTCCTGTACATCCACTGGATGCTTACATCTTGCACAACAGCTGAGAGTCTTCCGATGCTAAGACCCCAAATCCTCCTGCAGATCCCCATCTGATCTGAAGCTGCACAAGTTTAGTGCCTTGTATTTGCCCTTATGCAATTCCACTCCATATTTCAAGCCACTTTTCGAAGTTATCAAAGTTCTGGAGATTTTTTTTTCTTATTTTTTGCTACAAGCCTGAAGCTGCCTAGGCTGGTACTGTCTGCAGCTTAATAAGCATCTTTTTTTTCATTATCTAAACTATAGATGAGAATATTGAGTACTGCTACAACCAGAGCACACAAGATCCTACCTGACAGTTTGGCAGTAAATCATTAATAAAATCTGTTAATATGGTTTCCCACAAAGCCTTGTACCAACCTTAGGGCACTTTGATTATAGACAAATTTTTCCCAGTTTACTTCTCAAACTGTCATGTTACACTTAAATAAAGTCCAAGTATGTAGCACTGACTACTTTTTCTGTAGCCACTCTATAATTTTGTAACAGAAAAGATTTTGTAAACAGAAAAGCTGATTTAAAACTAAAATTGGTTATTTTTCTTGGTTGAGTTTGTGAGTTCTTATCCTCTTTACAAATTATATATTTGCTTCTTCAGTATTATTTTCTCAGAAGAATAGTTGGACTTTCATTTCTCTGATCCTCCTGTTCTTTTGTTTTGGGATGGTTGGTTTGTTTGATTTGCTTGTTCATTTGTTTGTTTTACCTTTTTAACGATAAGAATTACATTTGCCCTTCTCCAGGCTCTGGAAATCTTCTGCATGTTTTCAAAAGCAACCTTCAATTGCTCCATTTGATTCCCCTCGTTCTTTGGGTTTCCCATGAAGGAGAGACCAATCCAACTTCAAAAACTGAACTTTGCTCGGTTCTGTCTGATGAGTCTTCCCCCCACTGCAGCCCCAAATCTTGCCTCTGCCACCAGTAACATATAGTTGGCCTTCCCACTCTGATCCAGAAGAAAATTGAAGTGGCATTAAGTCTTCCGGCTTTCTCATAGTTACATGCCAATAGAATTATAGCCTAAAACATACCAGCATTTTCCATATTCCCTCCTGATGTCTTATTTTGCTCTCCAGTGCAAAAATGCTGACTACTACAATAACCAGGATGAACTCCTGTGGCACCCCATTTGACACATCCTTCCAGCTTTATCTTTGTATAACACATCAATATCAGACTGCTCTTAGCAGCATAAAGGGCTGTTTGTAAGATGCAAAAGACCGTCGTGCATCTTCACATTCCTTCGACTTCTTGTAGAAGATCATTACTGAAATAGAGATTTGACAGGACTCTACAACACTTCAATAAAGTTGTTTCTGTTTGTTTGTTTTTTACCACAGGCACTCCCCACTTTCATTCTGCTCAACTATGGTTATAGTATATATGGCAGTGATGTAACAGTTGACATCAGGAGAGTTCAAAGCGCTTTCCACATTGAACTTTTTAATAAGGCAGAAGTAGATGAAGTGACTTTCCTAAGGTCACTCAGCAAGATACAGGCTGAGCCAAGAACATAGTCCAGACCTCCCCAAGTCCCAGGCCAGTGTTCTATCATTATGCCACCCAGCCTGCCATATTATTAATGTTCAGCCTAAATATATTCTTGTAGCAATTGATTTAATGTCATTAGTTTCAGACTGCTAATCCAAAGCTCTGTTAGTTATCCAGCCTCCAGGGATTTACTGGAAACAAAGGACTTCAGAACTAATCCAGAAAATAACGTTAGAACTTTTTCATAAGACCTAGCTACTTCTTTTTCTTTCTTTCTTTTTTTCCTTCCTTTTTTTTTTTTTTTTTTTTGTTGTTGTTGTAAAGCTATTTCAAAAGGAAAATATCCACCTAATTCTTAATCCACTGAAAATAATTCCACTTAGATTGCACGTACATTTGTGAGCAGATGCACAACGTTTTCTGTTTCAGGCTATAAAATGCAATAAACATGTACAGTAGTAATTAATGGGGTGAAGTCAAGATAATGATCACGATACATAAAATAGAGAATTAAATTAAATATTCCTGGGTGTCTTAAAGAGATAATAGAAGTGGGTGGAATTGAACACCGCAAAAAATCTCCCTTCATCCACCACCTCCTGTGCACAAGAGCAGATAAAGATGCTTAGTGTATCAAAGCTCTAAAACAGATTAAAAGAACAACAACAAAAAGGAGATAAAGTATGTTCACATGAAGATATGAAAAGGATTTAAGAGTGCCTGTGTCCAAGGAATCAGTTCAAAGTCCTCTCAAGATGGCACAGAAATGACAAAATCCAAGACAGTTACATATTCATTAATCCAGTGTGAGAATGCACAGTAATGGGGACAATTAGAAAAAAAACATGTGCTCAAAGATCAATAAAAGGTGCCAAAATCTTTGTATTAAGTCACAGTGTGCTCTTGACTTTCGTAATCTGCCATGTTCAACTAGGTGGAAGAGTAGGTGGAAGGTAAATACACTTTTCAGTCTAGTATCCCTGGTCTGTATATAGATTTTTCTCACCCAGATTTCTCCACAGCAGAGCTTCAAATTGCTGTGGCTTTCAGAAAGCCTTACACTGTGTGTACTCCAGGATTGTATGTCAAATAAAATAATATTCTCTTCTTTCCATTTACATCCTTTCCTGCACAAGACGTTTTTCTTGAACAGCTGCCTTGCTGGTATTCTTCAGCTGACACCTTGCACTTTATAGTGCTTTTTAACTGCCAGTATTCAACAATGGGTAGCAACTACTAGGTTTTATGTCAATTTAATCTATATCTCCACCATAACTTTTGTGTTATCTTTGGGCCAACATGGATGACGTTGTTCTTTATAGCAAATCTAGTAAAATAATAGTTTCTGTTTTCCACAGCTGG